TCCTTGCTATGAACCAAACGCAAACATTCTGGTACCGGTCCAATAAGCAAAACCAAAAAGTTGTAAAGAAACTGTTTTCATATCATTTTAACATGCACCTTTTTCGTGCAAAAACATTTTTATGCCGGCCCAGCAGCCGAACGCAAACATTCCGCTACCGGTCCATTAAGCAAAACAAAAGGTTGTTACCGGCTCAGTAAACAAAACAAAACAACATTAAGAACCATGAGTTTTAACTTTTTGGAATCAACAGATCCTTCCACTGGTAACGTATGCTTTTTCAGGTTTGGAACCATGAGTTTCAAGCTTTGGGAATCCCTTACAATGATAGTTGCTTAGCTTCGAAAACATAAATTCTAACGTCTGGGAACCGGCAGTTCCTTGCCATGGTAACCTTTGGTTCCCAAGTTGGGAACCGTCAGTTCCAACCTTTAGGACCCGGAAGTTCTTTGCAATGGTAACCTATGGTTCCCAGGTTGGGAAGCATGAGTCCAACCTCTGGTAACCGGCAGTTGCTTGCAATGGTAACCCATGGTTCCCAGGTTGGGAACCAGCACCAGCAGCAGCAGCAGCAGCAGCAGTGGTAACCTGTGGTTCCCACGTTGGCAACCGTGAGTTCCAACCATTGGGAACCGGCAGTTCCTTGCCATGAACCAAACGCAAAAAATCCGGTACCGGTCCATTAAGCAAAACAAAGCGTTCTTTACCGGTCCATTAAGCAAAACCATAAAGTTGTAAAGAAACTGTTTTCATATCATTTTGACATGCACCTTTTTCGTGCAAAAACATTTTTATGCCGGCCCAGCAGCCGAACGCAAACATTCCGCTACCGGTCCATTAAGCAAAACAAAAGGTTCTGTTGCCGGCTCAGTAAACAAAACAAAACAACATTAAGAACCATGAGTTTTAACTTTTTGCAATCAACAGATCCTTCCACTGGTAATGTTACTTTTTCAGGCTTGGAACCATGAGTTTCAAGCTTTGGGACCCCGCAGTTCCTTACAATGATAGCCGCTTAGCTTCGAAAACATAAATTCTAACTTCTGGGAACAGGCAATTCCTTGCAATAGTAACCTCTGGTTCCCAGGTTGGGAACCGTAAGTTTCAAGGTCACAAGGTCTGGGAACCGGCAGTTCCTTGCCATGGTAACCTTTGGTTCCCACGTTGGGAACCATCAGTTCCAACCTTTAGGAATTGGAAGTTCTTTGCAATGGTAACCTATGGTTCGCAGGTTGGGAAGCATGAGTTCCAACCTCCGGTAACCGGCAGTTGCTTGCAATGGTAACCTCTGGTTCCGGTTCCCAGGTTGGGAACCATGTGTTCCAACCTCTGGGAACCGGCAGTTCCTTGCAATGGTAACCTGTGGTTCCCACGTTGGCAACCGTGAGTTCCAACCATTGGGAACCGGCAGTTCCTTGCCATGAACCAAACGCTAACATCCCGGTACCGGTCCATTAAGCAAAACAAAGCGTTCTTTACCGGTCCATTAAGCAAAACCAAAATAAAGTTGTAAAGAAACTGTTTTCATATCATTTTAACATGCACCTTTTTCGTGCAAAAACATGTTTATGCCGGCCCAGCAGCCGAACGCAAACATTCCGCTACCGGTCCATTAAGCAAAACAAAAGGTTCTGTTACCGGCTCAGTAAACAAAACAAAACAACATTAAGAACCATGAGTTTTAACTTTTTGGAATCAACAGATCCTTCCACTGGTAACGTATGCTTTTTCAGGTTTGGAACCATGAGTTTCAAGCTTTGGGAATCCCTTACAATGATAGTTGCTTAGCTTCGAAAACATAAATTCTAACTTCTGGGAACCGGCAATTCCCCTCGCAATGGTAACCTCTGGTTCCCAGGTTGGGAACCGTAAGCTTCAAGGTCTGGGAACCGGCAGTTCCTTGCCATGGTAGCCTTTGGTTCCCACGTTGGGAACCATCAGTTCCAACCTTTTCTATCTGGGGTCTATGCCGGTGTAATTTATTGTTGTTTTGAATATTAGGGGAACTTTCTATTGTAATTATCAATTGAAATTAGATTGCAAAAGGGAACTTAATCGATTTTGAAATAGAAAAATCTAGTTTTAAATGCAAAACCAATGTAGGCCCCTAATACAAACTACCACTTAAATAATAAAAATAGATCACCATTGGGGGGGTCAGTAATAGGGTGAGGGGATTTCGCAACCAGGCACCCAATAATCAGGCTTTCAAAAGCTCTTGAAAATTGCAAAGCACGGATCTGAGAGGTTGCAGAACCAGAAAATTGCTGACTTCAGTCTGCCAGGCTGTCTTTCAGCTTCATCACAGATCCGTCAAACCTGCGCTCACTACAAACAAAATCACCAAGTCAAGTCGCGCGCGTTGTCGAATTATGCTATGGTGTTCTGGGCTGGCTGTTCAGCCCATACAGAACAGCTTCTAGTGCCAAAGCTATGCAGGGTGCCCTTTACATGCGATGAAAACTGGCCACAAAAAGGTGTGACGTGCAAAAACTCTGCTGGGGCATCCCGCAACCAAAAGCACAAACCTGTACTTTGACGTGGTAGTCCAGATCACAAATGAGACATCTACTGTCATGGTCGCGCTCGTGCGCGCCTGCAATAGACGTATTGGATCCTGCTTTGAAAGATGACTGCCATGATGGCAAATTACGATGAAGCGCGCACTTTGCCTCTGCTCGAACAACATTCTTCGAAAGTCACCAACTCTGAACTGCGTCGTATGTTTGTTCTTTTCCCATATAGTCTGCTACGCGCAAAGACATTTGAAGACCCCCTGGGCTAGCTTCCCACCCTCCCACCAGTTTTGAACCTTTGGCCATCTCTCATATCCAAGTGTCTTTGGATCGCCATTTGGACCAGAAAGTATCTGAATCATGAAATCCGACACCTAAAAGCCATCATCTCGTCGAGTTGAATTATGGGATATCTTTTTCGGGGAACCAAGATTTTCTACCATCAAATCTGGGGGGTTCTCGGCATCCAGCGCTCACCTCGGCTTGATGCTGTAAGCTCAGCATTCTGCTGCTTGAAGCTCAACCAAGTGTCTGGGCTTTCATTTTTTCAAATCTGAAGTCTTCTTGAAATATCTCTGGTGTTTTCAGCTGAGGCTCTAGTCTTTGAAAAATCAAGACGTAACTCTGCTACTGATGAAACAATGGACATTGATGGCTGGAAGTGGAAAGCCCGTCTTGCCCACACCAATGGTGTAAGCTCCCCTGTGCTGGTTCTGTTCGCAGCAGTGCTGAAGAGCTACAGCGCAACGAATCGCTTTGCACCAGGCAACGGAAGCACGCGAATCACAGCGCTGGCCGCTTGAAACCGGGATATATCCCAATTCTCATGTTCAGGGTGGCTGAGTTTTCCAATGTATGGCAAGAAACTCGGGTACTAAACCCATGATTTGCGCTTAAGAAACTGACTTTCGGATGTAGTACAGGCCGTCCCTCAACCATATGTGCTGATCTGTTCGCATGGACAACTCTTCGTGATCAGCGCGTTCCTTCCTTTGCGCCCTGGCGCGGATCTAAGTCGTGTCCCGGCATGAAGCGCAAATATCAGAAGAAACACTGGTTTTTGGGTTTAACTCCCTAAACTAAGTCAGGTGTCATCATCCTATTGAAAGCACGAATTTGATAAGCAAATTCATACTCGACTAAAGGGTTGGTGCGCAAACAAACAGGGACTAGCTCAAAGTCCATGGCAAAGTTGACATCAGGGAATGAAGAACTTCCCAACAAACATGCTGCAAGAAATAAAAACGATCAAAGTAAAACAAGGCTACGGCGCGGTTAGCGACCCGGGGTAATTCATGGACTTTTCATGATGCTTGGCTCACCAAATCATGGTATTTGCAAGGTTTTGTAAAAACGTGATAAAAACGTCAAGTCGTAGTTACACTGGGGCCAACTACCAAAAGTGCGTTTCGTGTGGAACGTTCATCGATTTTCAACACGTCTGAAAAGAATTATTATTTTTTCTTTTGTTGGAAAGATTCAGCTACATCTGATCACCAGTCATTCAGCAAAACTCTTTTTTCAACTCTCCCTTGCACATGACGTCAGTTGTGCATGTGACGCAAGTTAACATGAACGTTAACATCCCCACCCCACCCCAACCCAGTGACGTGTCGTCAGTTGTGCATGTGACGCAAGTTAACATGAACGTTAACATCCCCACCCCACCCCAACCCAACGCAAATTAACATGAACGTTAACATCCCCACCCCACCCCAACCCAGTGACGTGACGTCAGTTGTGCATGTGACGCAAGTTAACATGAACGTTAACATCCCCACCCCATCCCAACGCAGTGACGTGACGTCAGTTGTGCATGTGACGCAAGTTAACATGAACGTTAACATCCCCACCCCACCCCAACCCAGTGACGTGACGTCAGTTGTGCATGTGACGCAAGTTAACATGAACGTTAACATCCCCACCCCAGCCCACCCCAGTGACGTGACGTCAGTTGTGCATGTGACGCAAGTTAACATGAACGTTAACATCCCCACCCCACCCCAACCCAGTGACGTGACGTCAGTTGTGCATGTGACGCAAGTTAACATGAACGTTAAAACATCCCCACCCACCCCACCCAGTGACGTGACGTCAGTTGCGCATGCATCAATTTCAAGAGCAACTTGCATCCAATCAGCAAAAATGACAAAAACGCAGGGGTCGTTAATGGCGCCGTAGGCTAAAACAAGGACTGGAAATATGTTGGTTACAATTTTCCCTGAATCTGATTTCATGTTTGCTCGGTCTTCCTTTTGCATCCTTTCCTTCTCGCCTTTCCATTTCCCTCCCGATGTTGGCTGCGTGTGTTTTGCCATTTAAAAAATGGTGGACTTGATCTGGACTTGCATGTTTTTCTTGTCCAGAAAAAAATGTTCCAGACCTGGCCCATATATATAGTTAGACATAAGCAAAAAAAATGAGGAAAGTATATACCGTATATTACCTGGGGATTTTGATCATGTCATTCACAGTTTAATTTTTGTTGCCCTCAAAAAACTATGCCGTGACGTCTGCAGCAGAATCGTGCATGTGGAATCTTTGCAAACGACAATTTCGTGCAGTTTAAAATTCACTGATCTCTCGGGCCCAAGGCTGAGGTGCGCTCAGGACCCAATCCTCACTCCACACTGAGCAGCGCTCAGCCGTCTCATCCACTCCTGGATTTTTGGAAAAAGACTCAACGTGAACTCAACAAGCACAACTATCTGCGTACACTTAGACTTGTTGAATGAGAGACTCCAAATAGCTGGAACCTGTAGGCAGCAAAACAAATAGTTCCACCGATTGCACGGAACCATCTCCGGCCTTCAGACCAAACCATCTCTCCGAGAGTAAGACGGTACTGTGGGTCAAAGCATAGCAAACCTCGAATCAGGGTGGAAAAACGCAAAAGGCAACATCATTGTCAACTATTTAGACGTCCATAGATCTATATGGTTGGTACTCATGTATATATGTATATGTGTATGTATGTATGTATGTATGTATGTATATATATATATATATATATCCGCCGACCCCGGCGAGCCAGGGAAGAGAGGTTGTGGACAACGAGAAATTGGAGTTCTATATTAGAGTTCTAGTAGGATTTCAGAAGGGACGTTTCAGCCTCCAGGGAACCTGCGACTGATTTTGCGTCCTTTTCGGTACGAAAGTAGGTGGTGTTTTGCCGTTTCGGCTGTGCTTCGAAAAAGGTGTCTGGCTGTTGGTTTCTTGCTTTAAAGGCAGTAGCAGCAGTCAAAATTGGATATCAAAATTCTATTTCTAGTAGGATTTCAGAAGGGACGTTTCGGCCCCCGGGGATCTTGGTATTGCGACTGATAATTAGGTGGTGTTTTGCTGTTTCGGCTGTGTCTCGTCGCGCATCCTGGTAGGTGCTGAAGTGCGCAGAGAGCTCCTGGTCATTCTGCACCATGTCGGACGCTGCACTCTCAAATTGGAGCACCATGGTGGCGTCATCATCTTGTTCAGCAGCAAGGGCTTCCAAAGTGTCCTCATCGAGGTTCTCATCAATTCCCACATAGCTTTCATACTCGGTTTCATCATATTCATCAGCAGCTAGCGTGAGATGGTCGTAGACCTTCATGGTTTTGTCTCGCTTCTGGCCTGTCATCTCCTGGAAGAAGTTGGATCCAAGCATGCAGATTGCGGCCGTCACCTTTTTCATCTCAAGGGTGCCTCCACTTTCCACCCCTGATTCCACCACCACATGCTTCTTGTCTTCAGAGCCCAGGCGGCTGCTCCTCAGTGTCACATAGGCCTGAAGCTTGGCCAAGCTGAACTTCTTTGTCAGCATCTCAGTCCAGGTCACATCCATGCGAGCAAGATATGAGTCAGCAGACTCGTCAGCCTTCTGTTGTATGCGATACAAGGCTTTCTCTCCGATCTCAAATTTCTGTTCTAGACGTACTTGTCCCCAGGAACCACCCACAATCTCGACAATGCGCTGGATAGCCATGCTGCCAGCAACAACTCAACCTTTTGGCCCAGGTGTCAACAGAGTCAGCAGACGGGGTGAAGGTCGGCACCAAAATGGCTAGTGGATTGGGCACCAATCCAGAACTGCTTCCTGTGTCACCTCCTCCAGATGACGTCGGATGCCGGGCCCGTATGCTGGAGCGCCGGCTCCGCTACCAATCTCAAATGATGAGATTGGCAACAGCCTCAGCAAATCCAAGGGCTCCCATCCCGCCACGCTGCGTCCACGCAGCCTTG